AACAAGTACAGAAACGGAGATCTGATTGTCCAGAAGGCGCAATAGCATTCGCTATTTTCCCTGATACAATAGTCTCTGCAGAGTGCAACACCCATTTGAGAAGTTATTATTCAGGGAAAATAGAACTCCATGTGTACATTGGTGCCTACTCTGCTAATAGGGAAAGAAATAAAATGCTATCTGGTCATTCAGATCTTAGTGAGGCTACGGTAAATCTAAGAAACATTATAGTATTTAGAGTCATCATGGTCACCACTGATCGTATCAAGGAATCCGCCGTGCGTTCACTGATTACAATAGGATCTCGAGGGGATAGAGGGGTATTACTGGACGCTAATGCTCTGCGACTCCTAACAGCTCTAGCAAATGCTCTAGTTTTGGTATGGGGGAAATACATCTTCGAATCCATTTCTGCGCTGATCTAAAAATTCAGGAAACACTACTGAGAGCTGCACAGTACACCCAACTAGATGGACGCTCAACAGTCGTTGCTACAGATTTCCAACGGATTTTGCCAAGTATCTTATTGGATTTTTCTATGTGACACAGCTATTCTCTTAACTATCTGCTTTATGCTACCTTTACATGAATAATCGTTATTAGTTTGTACAAAACATTGAAATAAGTTTAGCTTTTAACAAAATGAATAGACAGTACGTTTACTGTACATCCTTTGAACTGTAAACAGAGTTTTCAAAGTAATTTGAAAAGCCTTTCTTAAATAAACTAGCCACTGAGTTTTTGTACTGTTAATTTACAATCAATAACAAATCACAGATAAAAGATTTAAAGCGCAAACTGGTGTTGATACATTTGCAGTGCTTCCCATTCCGCTTTGAATGCTGCTTTCGGGTCTTGCTGTGGTGACATTGCCGCTCCTAGAATTTACCTTAAATTAACATTGAATCGCGAAACAAAGCTGAGAAAATAAAACTACTTTGACTATGGTCGCGAATAAAGCAACGTCAGAATTAGAAGAGCGATAAAGATGGAACGAAGACCGAGAACGGAAGACAAAAGAGGCCACCGACCAGTTCTTAGATTGACTGATCTCTACCAAGTTAATACAATACTTTACTCGACATTTCTCATGTCCACTTTTTTGCATTAAACTTACAGACCGTTGCCCAAAAAACAATTTATACTAAAAAAGCAGTACAGCAAACTTGTTTAGTAGGAAAGCTGTAGAGAAAAATTTTAGCTTAAAATTG